AAATAACGTTTCCAGTCTTATATTTCAAGAAAGCCATGTTATCTGATTCTCAGTGTTGTGAAGACAGGAAAAGATGTCACCTGAATAGAAGGGTTTAAGGTGCCATAGCATACTTGAAAATTATAAGGTTAGTGCTCAGAAAGATCTCCCAAAAAATACCGGGTTTACCCCAAACATTAATTTAGAGGGAACTGAGGTGAAGAGTAAGGAAAAATTGGAGAATGCTAAAAGAGGCACATTGCTGCAACACTATCAGAAAAGAAGAAACTCTGGAAGAAGGTCTTTCAGCAAGAGGGGTGTGCAATGCCAAAGGCACTTGGGGAACCAAGGCTTGGAAGCAAGACCAAAGTGTCTGCTTTGACAATAGAAACAGCAATATTAGGATGGAACAAGATCAAATGGAAACAAGGAGACAAGGAAGACAGCTTGGAAGGGGCTGAGGACTTGGAGATGAAAGCGCAAGAGGGAGCAAAAAGACAGTCATACACAGCCACATAGCTTCTAATGACTCTCTGATTTGGGAAACAGAGGAAATGTTAGTCCAGAGCACCAAAAGGAACCTTCTTGTAGTAACTGGAATAGTTAGCATGTGATGCATTTATAAATTTTTCAAAGCCAATTCAAGGGAGAGGCCAAGCCATAAAACTCCATGAGCTAGTGAGATTTTATCTTCTATAATGATGGGTGTATCCTGGAGAAATGGCATTCTGCTCACATGGGATATATTCTGTTGTCTGCAGTTCTGCAGGGAAGATAATTCTCTCAATGGCTCCATCATCCTCTGATTTATCCAGCCAGCGTCCACAAGGGAACTTGAGGCACTGTCCCAGTGATGGGGCGTCAATCTCCACCCATTCCAGAAACCAGCCAGTTGAATTACCTGTGGTTGGAGAGATAACAGTGAATAACCCACAAAGCCTTTACAGACAACAGCAAATGAATCATTGCATACCAGACCTCCGAGAAATAAATCTTCCTCTCTTTTGCTGATGGAAAAATAGAATAGATACCATAAAGACCATTGCAAGTGATTGTCCAGGTTTGAGCTAAAGTGTTTTACAATTCTATATGTGTCAGCTTAAAGATGTGCACGTGATTGGATTAATTTGCCTTTGTAGTAAGACAGAGGATTTACCAACAAACATGTCCCTTGGTGCCCCATAGGGAAGGAATCCACGTGTCTTTCCACTGCTTCCCTGGTTTTGAGTAGAGACACGTCTGTCTAAGCAGCAGCTAGGACTTGATGATGAAAACAACAAAAATATTGATAAAAGAAATGGGACAAGCCTATAGGTACCCAGGTGGAACAAAAAAAACCCTACCAGGTTTTGTGATATATGAGAAATCTCTCTAAATATGTGGCTGCAAAACTAAAGAGCCTCTTACAAAGAGAGAGGTTGCAAAGGTACCTGCAAGTTGCCACCACTGTGCTCTTATTGCCGCAGCCATGGGAATGGTATTAGCAGCAGAGATAGTAGCAGCAACAGCCAAAGTGACAGCAAGGATCTGTCACGAAAAGGTAAATTACGTTTGGGGTCTTGGAGGCAGGCTATTTTATACAGCAATGTGCCTAATGCACTAGAAATACTACATTACAAAGCAGATTATCTTACCTTTATTGTCATGGCCTATCTTGATTTTTTTCAGGTCTCCAATGTCCACAGACTCCACTGTAAACTCATCTACCTTCCCACGCTCAAACTTGTTCTTGTTAATCTTTGAGGCCTTTAGGCTGACTGTCCCTGTTGTGGTGATGCAAAAGGACATTGTTCAGCATGTGAAACAAATCCTCTGGGAATGTCAACAGTGGAACAGGGGAAGTGGCTAAAATGTAAAATATGGCTTTTCATCTCAAGATCTGAGCTTTGTCCCTCCCTCCCTCTGAACCCAAATCTGTATCAACACCCAAAATATACATAATTCCTTTCTTGAGTGATCCTCTGGCAGTGCCACAGGGACAATGCTGTTGTACTGTGTTCACAGCTAAAGAAATTTCTCCTACCCATCAGTTCCCTGTCACTCTCACAGGCATCCGAGTCACTGCACACAGAGCTCAGCTGCTTCCAAGAGGATTTGTTCATCAGCTGATTAAATACTTCTGGGCCACTCGAAGAGGCAGAGGAGAGCTGGATTTCAGGAGCATGCTGATTCATTGCTGAGGAAAGCAAATCATTCACTGCATTCACTACTCAGTAATGTAGTCCCAGTCAACTGTGTGGTTTCTATAATTGAAATTAAAGCCTTTAGATCAGCAGCTGCTGCAAATCAGCATCGCAAAGCTCGACAGTGATTTACAGCAGCTGGGGGTATGCTCCCAGCTATCACAATGTATGCGGAGACAGCGAGAATATGAAGCTGTGCTAAAAAGGAGTGAGGAACGGGTATTGAGGAAACAAAAGGAAACCATGACCTGTCTTTTCATGGATCCAGCAGTGAGGTGCTATCCTTTTCCATCACGTGAAGCCGTACCTGTATCGTCTCTACTTCCATAGAGAGTGATGAAGACATTGGCATCTGTCCCAGCATTCTTCTTGTCCCCGGTTTTCACTTTCACGGTGTATGTTGTTGATTTAGCTGTAGGATAAAATATCTTAATTTAAGAGTGTGAAATCTGAGCAGGAATTAACTCTACTTTTTATTGCATATGTGTGTTTCGTTTGGATTTTATTTTGACTAATTACAGCCATGTTGTAATCTCTCATTCCTGTCATATGCTGTGGTAGCTCCTGGGGTGAGCTGGGCTATCTGGTTGCAGTCTTCTACTGCTCCAGTCATTCAGTGCATTGTCTACATATCTATAGATACAAAATGAGCTCGAGCCTTCCCATTTGCTTCCTGGGAATCTCTAAGGCTCCTCAAAGCTGCCTCTGCCTATACTAGCTCATTAAAAAAACCACATCCCCCGCTTTATTCTATTAGCACCGAATAATATATGTGCATAACACATACCAGGAGGTATGTGCACTTTGACATATACAGTTCATATTCACAAACACGCCCTTCACAATAGCATCATTAGGGAAGTTTCTATTGCACCATCATATAGCAAGTGCAGTAAACTCATAAAAATGTGAAAAAGTCTCATATAGTCTTCACTGTGCTGCAAAAAGGTACTCAAGATTTCCAAAACAACACCATTCTTCCATAGTTAGAAATGTGTTTCCAAGATGCTGCTCAGCCAGCAGGTCCTCTTGAACCAAAGGGTTAAACAATTTGTGGAAATTATTCATGCATTCAAAAGCATGTGAGGGGGGAGTTAGGCGAAGTGAAGCCAGCAGAAGTGCTGGGCACTCAGCACCTTTCAGCATCAGATCCGGGAGTGTGTCATTGCTCGGTGGTTACTGCGCAAAATCATGTGCAAAAGAGACAAAGCTATTTGTGAGGACAATGGACACAAGCAGCAAGATGGAAAGTGAGACAAATTTAGGTCCCTTCACTTTCCCTGGTCATGTTTCCCCTCTGCTCGGTTTTGTGTTGAAATGTTTAACCGTTCCAGCCCCTGATGCGAAATGGCTGGGATTTATGCCTTGGATATTAGCAGTCAATGTACATTTCAGCTGAGAGATGATAACTGAACATGTTATCCATCTTCTTAGCTTGCTTACTTTGGGTCCAACCTGGCAAAATGATTAAATCACCTAAAAATGAGGAGTGTCCACTCCTTCCTGGCTGACATGCACTTCACACTTCATTCACTCCTGAAAACTTCACAGTCGGGGCAGAGTTACTGACAGCCCAGTGAACGCTAACCACTAATGCCCTTAGCACTCTAAAAACTTGGTTCCTTTTCAACCCCATACTGGAAGGAATACAAGGCTAACATAAACCTTTCTGCTCCAGGCCCAGCGTTGCAAGAGACTGGCCATCATTTTCCGAATCTTTCTTTACAAATGCTTCATCCACTGGGACCAGCTCCCTGACAATCTGACCGTCATCTTCCTCAACTGCTAACCACCGCTGGCATGGAAAATAATACCTACAAGAATGACAGCAGCACCCAGCACTTACACAGGACTTCACAGGCTTTAATAACAAAAATAAGCACAGATCAGAGGCTACTTAAAGAAAACAAGATTAGTCAAAGCTGAACAATACATCTGTTTTTGTCTTTGAGTTTTGGTATTGTTTGTGGGAGCTAAATCCATAAATAGGTTAGTGAGCACTTACTGAAAAGTGTTGTTTCTGAACTGTCAGCCCCATATGATTGATTCCTTTTAGTTTTCACTCCCAGAAGTTGAATAACTTGAGGGAACCTCCGGTCTCCCAGGCATTTTATGTTTATGAAGAGTTATGAAGAAAATGTTACGAAGAGACCCATCTTGAGGTCCTTATGAGCAGTCCCACCCACCAGAGCATTGTGCAACTTTTAAACATGTGACTTCAAGCATGTTCCAGCTCACAGGCAAGCCTGTGTTTTAGGTTTCTAATAGCTTAGGCTTTGCTCAGCCAGCTGTCTGTGAAAATCATGGGAATTTGCTTAGACCCTCTTCAGGAGAGAGAGTCCCTCCCAGGAGAAACAGAGAAAGGCTGAGGTTTCCTTCCAACCACCGCTGGTTTCCTAACTGCGGAGATGCTGGGACAGCAAAACCCCGCACAGAGGTACCCAAGAATGGCCCCACACTCAGTATAACAGCACAGTTATCACAAGGCTTCCAAAGGATGTCTGCTCCCTGTGAGTTGGTGAGGAGCTATGACAACGCCCTTCTGCACCTCCTCTGCCTTCCCGCGGTTCTGCAGGCTCCTGAGACCGTGCCCCCTTTTCTGACCACATGAAAAGGGTGCGACAAGCTGCTCACGTGGTGCTCTCCTTGAGGTCAACAATCTCTACCCTCTCCAGGAACCAGCTTGGGCTAGCACCAGAGTTATCATGGCGAATCCGCAGCTTCTTCAGCTCACCCAGGTCAATGGCTTTGATGGTGAACACATCTACCTGCACAGGAGGCAAGAGGTAAATGACTGTGTTTCCCAGAAAGGAGGAAAGGTAGGCAGTAAATGGCCAAGGGTAATCTTTTTTCCCATTAAAACAAAAGGTGTTTGTGAGTCTCCCTCGTATTCTCAGGGTGGATGTACTAAAATAACTACGGAGCTGTGAGCTCTCCCATTAATACTCATGCTTGGCTCCAACAAGGCAGTAACAGCCATGGAGCTGCACAACCCTTCACTCTTTTCTTTACCTCATCCCCATTTCAACTTCCTCTAGGTTTAACTCATATCTCCTAAATCTCATTCCTTTCAAGCTTAGCATTTTCCCTCAGATTCAGTCTGGAACTAGACACAAACTTATTGACTCCATGGAAACTCTCCTGTGCACCTCCATGTGCTTTATTTCAAACCACAGAATTTCTTCCTTTCGTCATTTACTACAACCAAGAGGTTCATTTATTAGCTGTATTAGTGTGACAGGATGGACCTTGTTATCATAATACCTCAAACATCTTAATGTGATTAACTTGTTGGTAGACTTTGGGTTTCTACTCCCAAGAGCAGAGCTTGTAACATTTGCAGCTTGGAGCTCTTCCTACTGAATGAAGAACCATGTGCAGGTTGCAGTATCACTGGTGCCAAGCTCATAAATCACAGCTAACAGCTTATTTAACAATCTTAGGCTCTTTTTTTCTGATCTCAAGTTTTCCACAGCTGCTTATTTTTTCTGTAATTTTTCGTTATTCAAAGTTATTCTGGGCTATAATAGTGGCTTTTTAATTATTCATATACATTTTAATGGCAAATATTCAATCTACAAGAGATAATGTTTAATTGGATTGGGTTATAATGTAATTATAGCACACCATGTAATACTGCTTTTATTCCCTGACAGGTTGAGTAGAACATTTAGAATTGCATTTGCAATCTAAATACTGACATACTTGAGCTGCCTCACAAATACTCTCCAATATTAATTTAAAGTTCATGGTGTTCAAGTACTCCTGGCAGGAAACATTATTACCAGAATGTTTACAGGAAGCAGATGCAAAAGGTGGCTCCGATGTAGAATTGGTGTTCATCTTATTATTCAAATGGATTTCCCCTGGAAAATGTTTTGAGGCGTTTTGCTTTAAGTAATATATTTAAGAAATAAAACACATCTGAGCTTTAAGCTGAAAGAAGCCAAGCCTTGCAGAGAAGAGACTGTAATGCACGGCCAGCATGATAACTGAGAGCGGTCTGCCAACCTTCTGCTCGCTTGAGTGAGTTGAGTTCATGCATTACCTGGCCCTTTTCAAACTTGTTGAGGTTATTGGACCTTTTCAGCTGGCGCTCACCCGTGTCTCCTCTTCCTACGCCATAGATGCTCAAGAAGACATTAGCATCTGTCCCAGCCCCCCACACATTCCCAGTGAGAACATGGACTTCGTACGTATTCTCTGCAAGTAAAATTGGAAAGGCAGATCAGGAAGAGCCCAGAAATTGCCATATTTCATCAGATCCATGGCTCGCTGTGAAAGCACGTAGCCCAAAAATGCTGGCACAGTCAGCTTTATGAAAGATTTTGTCTGGAGTTTGTTTGCATCTATCTTAAAACATGAGCAGCTCCATCTTTCTCTATCCCTTGTCATTAACCATGTAAATAGTTACAGCTTGCTAAACTCCCAGCCACAGTGGTCACTTGTGGGACTTGCAACCCAAGTGCCCCAGACAAGCCTTGGAGAACCCTACAGAAGTCCTTTAGGGTACTCCCATTTCAGACTGTCTCCTCTATCCTCTGCTTTAGTTTAACCATTGTCCTCTTCCTCCCCAGAGCTGATCAACCAAACCGCAGTGTAAGCTACACTGCAGACCTGGAGCAATGGGATGGCTGGGAGGTCATAAGTGGTCCTGCAAAACACCACAGTGTGGTTACCATCCTTCATGCAACTGCTGTATCCACACACCTGCACATTTCCTCTGATATTTACCCTCCAGAGCAGATTCTCCATCAGGTACCAGCTCCACAACAAGCTCCTTATCTCCTTCATCTTTAGCCAACCAGCGGTGTGCCACAAACGTGTAGACATCCATTACTTCTTCCACCTTGGTCTCCTCTTCTTCCTCCTCCTCAGACTTTTTCTTTTTCTTCTTCTTCTTTTTATCAGACTCTGTCATCTTCGTGGCAAGCCGCTTCAGTGTGACGCTTTCCAGGAACCAGCCATCCCCAATGCCTTTCCCGTCATGGCCTATCCGAATCTTATAAATCTTGCCAACATCTGCAGCCTCTCTCTGTCACCAAAGGAAAGTCAGCACCCAGGAGGATATAAAGACATCTTAATTTCATAAAGTGCATTCTTAAAAATGAGGAAAAAAATCTATCACCCAAAGCACCTCAGCAAAGATAAGATAAATTTTTTATGCAAGTTTACCTTTACTTTTTCCTTCCTGTTTTATTCTTTCATACTTTCACCCACCAAATCTCATCTGAACAGACTGAGCTGAAAACATTCAGAGCAACCATGGTGAGAATAGGAACTGAATCCATACTTCCTACTTCTCCATTGCTTTCCTCACCAATATTGTCTCTGTGTTGGCATCAAAGGTGAATATACCAAAATATCATATTAGTTTTTTACAGATTCTCAGTGCCTGAGGTCTTTTTTAAATTAATAACAAGATACACTTAATACGTAGCACGAGGCATGAACAAAGCAAGAAGCGATAATGGTATAGCGAAAAGGCAGTAAACTTGGACTCATATAACCTGATCTCTGATACGAACCATGGGCTTGGACTGCCCTTCTCCTTCCTTCTCATCTGGAAAATTAGAAAAGCATATTCTCACTTCGCTAGTGTGCAGAGAGGATACAATCATTAGTGATTACAATGCATCAGTGACAAAATGCTGTATTCGTAAGATTTCCATCTCTCTAGTCAATATAGCAGATACAAAACCTTGTTGGTTTAGATTGTTTGTCCAGATTACTACCTCACGAAGTTGGATGGAAGGCTTTACTCCACACAATCCTTCAACAACCAATTACTTGTTTCTGATGATTCCTTATGCTGTTAGGCAGTGTTTATGTTATAAAACTTGCAAACATTTCCTTCGGGCTGAAATCTGGCAACTTGGCATACAAGGTTTCAGTCTAGAAGCATTTTTTTCTATAGCAGATTAAAACAAAATCAATTGCACACAAGATGCTTATCAGAAAACGAAAATTGATCCAGCTGTCCTAGCATAAAGAATGTGTCTTTCCTTATGCTGCTTTGCCCTTAGATTTGCTATAATCATCCTGCATGCTCTGTCTATAACTGATGGCATTTCCTATTAGCATGTAGCTCACACAATCTTATTCTTGCCCATATCTTTCAGTAAATATTCATATCATGAAAGAGGTAAAGGATCTGTCTATTAATGGTTCAGAGCTTCTGCCTTGTGTGCTCATAAAAAAAGTCACAGAAAATGGGCAGAACTTTAAAGTCTGGCAATAAACAGCCAAGAGAGGATATAAACATGGCTATGTAAACAGAACACTGTACATATGGCTTTTTATAAATCTGATATTGGCTAATAGCTTTTACTCATAAATTTTGGAAAGCTTATTTCCTTTAAAATCAGAGAAACCTAATCTTAGAATTATAGAGTGTCTTAAAAAAGCAAACATTTATAAGACGTTAGTCATCTTAAATCCCAAGGAACTCATTAAAAATGGATAAATATCACTAACTCCATTCTGTGAAGCAAGAAAATGAGGAAGGAGGACGTGAACTGTTCTTAAAAATACAAACTACAAAACTGTGTTAAAGCTCTGGATAAAGACACCTGCCTTTGGCCAGTGACAACAGGAAGGATACCCCAGTCTTGATGATTCAGAGGAGCTTCCACAACTAGCTCCGAGTAGGTGCTTAACTGTGTGATGAGATAGATCTCATCCCTGTGGGACTGCAAATTCACAGAGAGACGTAGGCACCACAGTGCTGAGCCTTATGCTGCGAGCACATATGACAGATGTGCCTTAAATCTTGCTTCCATCTGTGTTTTACTGTCCAGATGTTGACGTCTCCTGCGGTTACTTCAATACAGAAGGATGTGGCTCTGATATGCCACGATAGCACAGCCAACTCCTTGCTCTAACCCCACATCAGGGCAAGAACTAATATCATTCCTTTCCCCCAGACCTTGGTTTCTCTGGACAGAAAACCCAAGCAAGGAAGCCAGAAAAGAGTGGTGGTCCAATATAGCCAGGTCCCACTGAGGAGAGGACACCCAACCACACTGCGGTGCACACCACCGCTTAGCTGTGTCAGCCCAGGACCTCTTGCTGGATTAACCAGGTCCTGGCTCACACACTGGAGTTTTGCCTGAGGTTTTGCGTCCCTGCAAATACTCTGCTTACTGTTGGGTCGCTCAGAAAGAGGTGTGGACTCTGCAGTGTAAACCTAAATGCTGGCCAGACCGATAACCGCAGGAGTGTACTGTACACCTCGAGCGCCGTGGCTGCGCAGTGCTTGCTGGACTAGTGCCACAGGCAGTAAAATCCATGGGGCACTCACACGTTCACAGAAAATACAGCAGCAAACCTCTGCAGGGTTGGGCTGAACAACATCTACCTGTGGTTAATGGCATGTGTGACCACAGGCAAAGCCAGGAGACCTTATATTCTGTATGGAGTTTCTTTTTCCCCAACTAGATAAAGAAAAGGAACAATAGCATATGGTCAGGCCCAAAATTTAAGCTTAAGGTCTTTTGAGATCTAACATGAGTACCTCCTTTTGAAAGAAAGGGTAAACAAAATTGCTATGAGATCATATTTTTCTATGACACCTTTGCCACCAGTCCCTCAGAAGATGAATGTCACTCCACAAAACACAAAACTTCCCAAAAGAAATACAAAACCTTCCAAAAATATGGATAGAGGACAGCAGATACCAACAGACCTTGTTGTTAAAAAGTCAACTGTTTTGTATGATTGGGCCAATTCTGTTGATGTCTCAGTTTTGACTGGTCATTTCTTTCCCCTCATAGAAGCGGCAGCTACTGCCTTCATCATACCTTGAAGATATCTGTGGCTCCCCGTTCAAAGTTGTTTGATCTGTTTTCTAAGATGATCAGTTCGGTTTTGCCTGTCTCTCCATAAATCTGCATGAAGACTTTGGCATTGGTGCCTGCGGCCCGCATGTCTCCAGTAACTACAGACACCTCGTAGTTTATCACTAGTCCAAAAATAAAGCAATTAAATCAGCAGAGAAGCTCAGATAACAACATTCCTTAGGGCTCAGGTTCAAAACTAAATTACCTTGTCTTAACAAATGACCACGTAGCCAACCATTTGCTCTTATCCAAACCAAATGTGAGATAACACAACTCTTCACTGAGGGCTAACCTAATAGTTTTCCTTTTACAAGTATTAAAAGCCAGTGTCAGAGGGTGCAAAATAGAGCCTTAAAAGGGGATTTCATTTCAGTATTAAATAGAGAGTGGTTAAATCATCTCCTTAATATAATACAAAGGAGGGAGTTACACAGAGCATCCTTTCTCAGGATCCCAAGGCAAATTTTAAGCATGGCCTTAAAATAAAATTAATCTACTGATAAAAGTCAAATAGACAGTAGGGATCTGGTCCTTATTTATCAAACAGCTTCTCTCTTCCAGGCAATGGGGTAATACAGGCAGGACGGGATATGTTCTGGTGCAGGACTGGGGCAGCGGGACAGGTAAATGTAAAAAAAGCAGAACCCACTGATATTGCAATGAAGTAGCACAGCACCTTGTGCTGTGTTACATTGTCCAGGATGCAAATTTTTCATAAGATCTCAGGAAATGGAGATGGAAAACCCAGTACTGTTTGTCCAACTGTTTTAGAAAAGAAAAGAAAAGAGGAGAATAATTTCCTTTGCTCACCAACATAAGCTCTTTGGGACAGGAACTTTTTGGTTTTGGTGTCTAACACAGTGGTGTCCTGATCCTTGAGAATGGTAGTAATACAAATTTAGTCCTAGCTATAAAACAGCACACATTTCTCAATGAGTCTTCTCTTACATTTCTCAATAGGCACAATCTCACTTGGGTAGACCTCCACCTCCACTCTGCCATCAGCCTCATCTTTGTCGAGCCATCGGTTGCAGGGGAACATGTATTGCCTTCCCTGGACTGGAACCGTGATCTGGACACTGGCCAGGAACCAGCCAGACCGGAGACCCACGTTATCGTGTCCAATCAGTATTCGGTTGATCTTTGAAAAAGCAAACAAAAGCCAAGAGCGCAGGGAAAAAACCCGACACAAAAGAATTTACTTAATATATGTCTCCTTCTGCTGGCACCCTGTTCTTCCACTGTGATCATGTAAATCATTTATATATGTATTTAGCTATAAACTTAAAACACTTTTCACATGCCAGCCTGTACACTAGAATGTCGATGTAATAGTCTATACAAAATGTATTTCTTAATACCTAACGTAAAGGTCAGAGATTCTCACATCATATTCAATCCTGAGCATCATATTGATTCTGAATTCAGACAGTCACACAAAGTACAGAGCTACCTGTCATTAATTCTTACCTTCCCAATATCCATCGTATCTAGAGTAAACTCATCCACTCGACCACGTTCAAAATAATTGCCTAGATCATTATCAGAGACCAAGAGAGGCTCTTTGCTGGAGTCTGCTTTTTCGCCATAAAGTTTGATGAAAACTTTGGAGTCTGAGCTGGCACCGGGGATATCTCCTGTCTTCACACTGATATGATAACTGACGTCTGAAGTGAGATCAACATACAACACACAGACACGTGAGTGGCATTTCCAATGCTCAGCCAGGCAATTGGCTTCAAAGAGATATAGGGGAGGGGGGCTCCAGCCACAGACGCAGAAAGGACTTCACTCCTCCATTCATGCATCTTAGGACCACACTGAATAAGCTGTCATACCTTGGAATTATTCACCAAAACATGAGAGATGCAACAGATATATTAATAAGCAGAAAGTATCCTGTATTCCTCCCTCTCACCATTAGACTATTACCAAGCCATAAAAATGAGCTTAGGCAAGTGAGATGATTTCACCCTTTTTTATACTTAATGATTTATAAAGTCAATAGCTTTGACTTTTTTTTCTAAAACAAAACAAAAAACATCTCAACCTGAGCTGTATGAGTACTGTTTTTTAAAGAAAATTGCAGTATTAGAGCCCTGGTTCTCCAGAAAAGGACAGTGTAATCTTTTTAGTGATTTTCTTCTGGGAACACAATGTTATTTGACGGAATTTACTCTACTAAAGCAGTGGCAATTCAAAATCCTGCAGAGAAAGCTATACAAGAAAGCAATTCTTAAACAAATTATGACATTAAAGATCAAAGTTTCTTTCTACATATATAATGTTGCAATTATTCTCTTTTATGCAAATTAATTCCGTTCCTAAACTAGGATTTAAGGGTCAGAGGCATTTCTCCCCAAGTGACCTACTGCAGCTTCTTGCATAAGAATGGCAAAAAAAGCCCGGTAGATTTACTGTGAACTGACATGAATCATTAAGTAGAATAAAGCAAGTAAATACGTGCACACACAGCTCAAACCCAGACCTTCTTTTTTCCAAGCTAAACTCACTTTTTAGCATTGGTGACTCCCCAGCAGGCACTAACTCTCGGACAATCTGACCATCATCCTCATTTTTGTCAAGCCATCTGGTTTACAAACAGAAATAAGTTATCTTTGAGTAATTAAGACCTATTAGACCTTTCAAAATCTAGGCTGGCTCCACACATAGTAAAAATCCACATCACAGTCAAAAAGGTATTTTTTACAGGGCTTGGTATCTCTGTTGACTTTGCAGAGCTTGACCAGTCCCTATAGCAGTTGCACTTTAAACCTCAATTTTTCCAGGAAGAGAGACCATGAGTGCCCTGCTCGCAGTAGATGAGCATCTGCTGTGATGTCCATCTGTCTGGAAAGCACAAAATCCATAGCCACAAGTTATTCCTGTAAGTGGGCAGTCTCGGTCTCCTGAAAGCATTAACCTTCATTGACCAGAAATACTTGCCACCTTTATTACTAGCTGCCTTGATTACAAACTTCGTAGCACCTAAGTTACTAAAATCCCCCCTTTTTTTAGTGTTTGCTTACTCAAATCTATCATCACTTTTGTCTTCCTTACAGACACGTGTTTTTTCTCCACCAGGAAGGGGATGAATTTTGTTGTTCCCATTTTCAGAGCTGGGTATGTGGAGGCAGCTGGCACCAGCAAAAGGAAGGATTTCCTTTGTTTCTCAACATTAATCTAATGATCCAACTAGACTAATTGAGAAGAAGAACCGGGGACAAAGCAAAATGTAGCGTGATCTCACGGGGAAGAAAAATCTGAAAGGAAAACAGAGGGGAACCAATTGCTAACCTGGTAACCTTCACAGCTGCTCCTTCAGCCTCAGGGATGAAGGAATTACAGCCTCAGCCCCACCATACGCCATACGGAACCGCTGTACCACCACAGCGAAGGCCCTGGCAGAGGTTTCTCACTCTCCCCGTCAAACCCAGACTGCTGCAAGCACTCGGGATATTCCTGTAAGCATCTGCTTAGGCTGAGGCTTCCCACAGTGGTGCACTGGGGCCATTTCAGTCCCCAAACACCACGTCGTGAGAGCAGGCACGGTTCCCAGAAAGCCCCTTGTTCCCAGGTGCAGAGCTATCTGCAGCAGCATCCTGTGCAGCTAAAAACATCGCTGGAAGCCAGTGGGGGTGAACGAAGGACAAGTGAGCAAGCGCTGGCAGGTCACGCAGGGTATTGAAGCTGTTTTAATAATTCCCAGAACTAGAAAGAGAAAAACAAATCCCCAGAAACTGTTTCTTTTTAAAGGTGCCCACACAGCTACGTGAATGACACCAGACCGCAGAAGTCCTGCTTCTCAACAAACACGCGCGGCACAGACGTACTGCAAGCTTCCTGCAACGTCGCCGTGCCGCGCGCGCTCGCCTTGGCCGACCCTCACACCAAAAAGGAGGGGAGCTCTCTTCCCATCTGAGTTTCCACCTTTGATTTTGCTGATGAGCCAGCACACATGGAAATCGGCAAATGACCCTCATAACAGGGATCTGGGGACAAATGCCCACGGAGAGCTGGATCAGACCTACGGTATCTTGCTGGTAATAAGCCAACACAGCTTACTGTTGTGATGAGTTGGACTCACCAAAAAAAAGAAAACAAGCACAAAGGAACCATGCAGAAAACCAGCACTGGGAGAGAAATCCAAACATAAGCTAGAGCTGGCCGGTCCCAGTAGAACTAGCAGCAAAGCCCCCATGCAAAAGAGGTGCATACAGCCCCACCTCAAAGACACACCTCTCCACCCCCAGGTCTCCTCTAAGCTTTGGTGGCTTCTCGGTTATGCAGTCTACCCCGTATTCTTTCGCTCTGTAAAGTAGGTGGCCGTGTGCAGGTGGCTTGAAAAGGGCTAAAAGCTAAGAGGATCGGCATGAAGGTGCCGAACGCGTGAACATGAGATGATCACATGAACACCATGTGAGGGCATCAGGTGTGGTGTTGTGCCTCAGTGGAGGCTGAGAGGGGTAGAGGGGATAGAGGAGTAGAAAAAGCTGTGGGGAAGACCATGAAATTGATGTCAAGAACTGAGCAAGGGTGGAGTGCAAGGAGAGCAGAAGAGCAGCATGCCAAGACAGCACGTTATCTTAAGAAAGGAAGCCTTTATTGATGTTTTGGGGTTGGGGGATTCTTTTTACCTGTTAGAACCGGTGCTTAATACCTTTGCATCATGTAGTTCTTGATGCTGGTTCAGGATTCACATCCTTGGACAGGTATCCAACGGCTAGGGGATCGCATCCTCCCAAAAGTTAAGATGCTTCTGATACGTGGATGTTAACTGGGAGGACCCACAAAATTCGAGCTTGAACACCACCACTCCACAACCACTGAATTCAGCACAGTCTTCAGGAAGGCAGAAGCTCACAAGGTAGACACTCTTCTGCTCTCCTGTTGCTGTTTTTTGTGTCCTGCAAGCTGCTGTTTATGGTGCCAGTGTACATGCTGTTGTTTTCTGTCACCTTTGCCATTGCTGATGCTTTAGGGAATCATGGGATGAATCTGAGTGAAACACTTCTGCGTCAAGGTGACAGAAAATACATCCCGCAAGAAACAGATCTCTGTGTGCAGCATGGAAAATGATAACGGTTTTGGCAATGAGTTTGGACAAGAAAAGGTAATCCAAAAAGGAGGACACATGCCTAATTAAAGAAATTCCCCCTACCAATGTTGGTAGCTACTGATGGCAACAGGAGTATGTCTTGGACTGGAAGAGTAAGAGGAAGGTTTATCAGCAGAAGTGGATTAAGGCTCCTTACTTTGTTTCAGCCAAGAAAATAGCTAGAATTGGCAGAAACACTATCTTCTCAATAAGATTACTTCAACTAGTGACAGAGGAAGTATTTGGATGAGTATTTTGTTCCTTCCCTTCAGCACATATGCTGCAATATCCTAATTTTACTTCAAATGTAATTCCAATAGTGTATCACTGAGCAGCAGATTGCAACCAGGGGTTTATAGTCTTACACTGAGCACAAATGGACTGGCACATTATAAACACATCAGGCTGCAGAAAATAGAATTTTTCAGTATAGTGCCATCATATTCCTAGTACAAAAGGCCTGTCAAAATCTTTTATTTTACCATTTTACCAGAGCTTCCATACAATTTCAGTGCATGTAATTCACATGGCATTGTGGGTTTTGCAAGGGTGTAGTTGTGTCCTGTATCATGTACTTAGTTCTAAAGAGATACCGTATGCCCACTAACCCAAAGCAGACACAAATACGACACAAAAGCCACTTCAGAACAAATTTCTAGAGGATCAGAGAGTCAGGGAAGCACTGTGGGAAAAAAATGGTATGACATCATACACAGCATTCAAAATCCAGTAGATGACACCTGTGTGCAATTAGAATGACTAGGACATCCATTAGATCCAGAGATACATATTTGTGTGTGTCTGTAAAAATAACCTATGTGTGAATACATGTAAAATAGATAGACATTTCAGTCTATTTTTAGGCAACAAAAGGAGGTTCTCTGGATCCCTTATGCAATGATCACTTTTGGCATTTGATTGAATAAGTGTCCTTTCACAGGAGCATCATGCCATTCATGGTCTGTCTATTGTTCTTCAAAGAATTAACGATGTTCCCTTATGCTTGTGCTGGAGAAAAATTAGGATGGTGCAGTCCCTATGCTCAGAAAAAAACGTAATGCAGTATCATTGAAGATTTCATTGGAGCTGTAATGATTTATAGCATATAAAATTCTATCCTATCATGAACTCATGACTTTGCCTGATTGAAAATTCATTTCTGTCTGGGATATAAATATTATGAAAAATAGGCTATTTTAGAGAATGTCAGCTAGTCCATTCCTGGACTTCCACAGAGCCTTGAGAGAAAATGAAATCTGAAGAACTCGGTTCTGAGCTTCAAAAGAGTTTGATTCCAGTTCTGGGGCGAAAGGCAAACTCCTTCGTTTTGAACTTTCTAGCAGTATTCACAATCACAATACCTAAACCGCATCAGGTATGATAAGGTATAAATGGTTCAATTATGCCACTGAATGATTCAGTGTTCAGTCCCTAAAAGCATGGATATTATAATGTCGTGTGGTCATAAGGGAGGAATAATACTCCAGTGCATCCAAGTGATGTCCTAGTAATTCTGCAAATAATGCTTGAAGAAGTTACTTGCATTTACTTCTTGCAAGCACAGATCAAATGACCACTTTAAAAATCACTGAATCTAAGAGGAGTTACAAGCTATTCCCTTTACAGCCAATTGTTTTAAGAGTTGAAAGCACAGGCCTGGGAGTCATTATTTCTCGATGCTCTTCCTGAATCTGACACAAATTCACAATTAATCCACTTAGTTTCTCTTTATCTCTGCTGGCTCCCTTGTACAACAAAGACAGTCCTTCTCATAGAGCTCTTGTAAATATTAGGTAATATATGTTCCTATAAAGTCATAAAAGAGCTTTCAAATTAAAAGACAAAATATGGCCATGCGTATAAATATGTAAATAACAAGAACAGAGAATTCAATGAGTTATATGCAATGAAGATCTATAAGGATATCCTACAGACATTAGTTATAGTGGTTAGCCAGTTCCTTGCTATAATATTTGCTCTCCACACGCTTGTACAGCCTAGTTTTTACAGAGGTAAGAAGCCTGTGAAGCTTTCTGCACGGGTGAGATGTGTTTCTGCAAGAAGGTATTTTGTCTTCCATCTGTCTCATAGTAGCAGCTAGGCAACAGAAAGTCAATGGCGTAGCTTTCAATAAGGACACAGCAGCAGAAGTTGTTTTCTCCAGACCATGAAATTATGCTGTGTAGAAGAGTGGAAGTTAATCAGGTCTTGGAGGTGAAGGCAATGAGAACATCAGCATGTCCACTGGCTGGCCACAGACAGGCCAAGCAGAAATAGAATCTTCCCTTGTGTCCCTCAGATGGAGTCTCTAACTAACCTCACTTGAATTGGCTCACTAAAAGAAGGCCACTACTCTTGGCCAAGTCTTCTTCAACGTCTTGGCTCTGAAGAACCAGGCCTCCCTGAGCACCTGCCAAAGCAGCGAGGACATAAGCTGTCCTTGGCCTACAGGACTGGAGGGGAACATCCAAATGCTGCAGGTCATGGAAACATCTATCCCTCACATGGAGGATGCAGTGGGTGAGCACCTTCACCCTCAGATATCTCCAGACTCCATGACGACACCCGTATACTGCGATGATGCCCCAGTCTCTCAAGAGACACAGGCACCAAAGATAGCGAGAGGGATCAGCTGTCCCTGTGTTTGGAGGTGATCAGTCATGTTACCTTCTCAATCTGAGAGGAAGAGATAATGTTGGCACAAGGACAGCAAACAAAGCCACATGAACAACACTGGTATCGCTTGGAAAAAGAGACATTAAGAAAGATAAGAAGAGTGGAATTCCATCACTTTTGACTTGAAGCCTGAATGCACCCCAGGAATATCTTGGAGATAAGTCCTGGGTTTTCTTTCTCCCTCCTTTTTCAGTCCCTGGCCTGAGGGGAATGCCCTGTGGACTCTGATGCTTCTGATCCACAGGATAAAGCTAAGGGGAAGGGAATCATCACTCCAAGCTGAGGGAAGACACCCAGTTAAACAGTCAAGCAAAGAGACGATTCAAAAGGAAATCTTTAAAATGAGCCAGCTGCACAGAGCAGTTAGGACACAGAAATGTTGCTGAGGAGTCTGAGCAAAAGAGCTCTTCACGTGGACACTTCATGTCCAAGTGAAAACCTGTCTAGCTTGCTTGCTTAACTCAGTAAAACATATGGTTGTTAAATATGTATCAAGAGGCAGCAACGACAACGTGGTGGTTTGTTCTTTGAAAAGGGAGAGACTGGCTGGCTTTTCACAACCGAGATGACGTTGCGCCTGCTACTCCGTGCCGTCTCCCTGGTGAGCTGGCTCTCTGACGTGAAGCAGCTTTAGCAATGCAGAGAGGCTGGGGCTGGCTCCTGTTTTGTGTTTGGCTGACTCCCCTCGTTATCGTGGAGTTCCTCCTGATTTACAGTGACAAGAGACAAGTAACCAGCTTAGAGGGTTTTACCTTTGTTTGCAATTTAAAAATAATTGTGTTTGCGTTTTACAACTCCACTTGTCCCCCAGGAGATGACTTTTTAGAACAGGTACTTGATGTTGCTAAATGGAGCTCAGTGAACTTCCATCCTACAGGGTGGACATCCTGGGAGGGCAAGTGGGACTTCACAGGACACTGAACTACACTGAAGTTCGTCTCTTATGTTTTCACCTAGTTCTCTCTAGTTTGTGCTGCAACATTGAGGCAAGCCCTAGTTAGTGCCAGGAGAGATGATGCATCTCATTCCCCACGGGTAGCGTCAGTACAGCACATTTCTTTTGGCCACTTGATTGTCTAGGAAAGAGAATAATTCATTTATAACTCATTCAAAAGGGTAAGTGACAGCCCTCTGCTCTACCGCTATCTCTGTCTGCAAGACAGGCATTTCCCTTCATGCAAGGAGCTCTCAAGTTGGCAGCATAGCGATTTTGCATTCTCCCAACGCAAAAAGAGCATCCCATTGCTCCTGGAAAGATGGGATGTGCATGTGAGGGACCAGAACCTCGTCCCGCACGTGCAATAAAACTAGCAGATTGCAGCGGATTGCAGAGCGCATTTCTGCAGCAGGCAATCACAGTGACACTGGGTGTGGTACTGGAAGGTGGCATTTTACCTTTTGGAAATTCTCTGTATTACTGAACTAATTGCTGAGAAGTTCACAATTCAGATTGCTGTTTGTTTGGTAAGGGGCGTTAGTCATATCTTAAACCTCCCAATCCACACTCTTTGCTTTCAGGCTTAGCAAAAATAACTGAATGAATGAATAAAAAGGATGAAGCTGTGCTCAGAACATTCCAGCCTTGGAACAGCTAGGCTCTTCAAAGTCTGGCAAATGCATAATTTGCAAGCATTGTTTCCAGTACCTGTAGCAGGGGAATTCCACAGCCTCACTTTCTGGCTGTCCTTCTTCCCTCACTATCACTTTGGCAAGGTACCAGCCACTGCTTCCTCCTTTGCCATCATGCCCTATCCTCACCCTCCTCACCTGCTTCAGCGTTACTGCTTCAACGAAGAATTCATCAGCCTTTGAGAAGGAGAAGAAAAAAGGTAAAGCAATATTCCTCCTTAAAAACAAACACACCAAACAACAAAATTTATTATTGCAATCAAACCAACATCATCAGCATGCTGCAAGATAATTCTTCACAAGATGAAGGAGAAAGTCTGAATTAATTTAGCAAAGAATGAAAGCTTGAATACTTGTGCTAGATGTATAACATTAGATTTACAAATATATGATCTGCCAGCATTTTAAATCTCCCACATCATTGCATGCCCTCCACAACTGCAAAAAAAAAAAAAAAAGAAAAGTAACGTGATTATTAAGAAGTTCGTACAGAGAAGGAGGAAAACCAAGTTCAAACCCCTGCCCAGATGTCAGCTTTCTGGGTAACCCAGGGCGGGTCACTTCAGACCAAATCCACGGAGGTATTTAGAGCTACAGTTCAAAGACATTACCCCACATTAAATTCAGGCGACATGGACTACTGAGCACAGTTTAACTCCAGCCATTTCCTGGCATGCAAGCATCAGGCATGGCTGCACAGGGGTATTTCCAGCTGCTCCATGAGTTGTCTTCAGAGGTTGGTGTGAACCTAACCCAGATGCTAAATACCCTTAATATCCCACAAGACACATGAATTTTATATCTTTGTTTGGTTGGTTTTTTCCCTGGAAAAGGGCTCAAATCGCCAGCCTGCAGATCAGCCTACGTGATGGCCCCTCAGGAACGGAGCCCTGATCGTGCTGGGAGCAGCAGTTCCCAACGGCTGAAGAAAGAAAGATATGCTGAAAGAGCGAGTTACTCCTTGGGGAATCAGGCCAGACAACTATCTGTGGTAGATGTACAGGTGCACACGCATGTACGGTAAGCGCCTGTGTAAACGTATTTCTGAAGCATACAATATCTATCTGAAATAAATATACATCCGAAACGTATAGCCCAACAAACACAATTGCCGTGGTTACCATCTGGCTGAGATGCATCATTAGGTAAGAGAAAGCTAATCAAACACTGTGATTCATTCGTTCTTCGTCTCTCAAAAGCCCATGAAGCACATACAGTGGTAGCATATACCCAGCTAGCTCCCAGAAAGCATGGTGACAAGGCACTGTTTATTTAAATGTTTACATTTGTTAAAACGATCGTGATATTTTCCATCATTCAGAACTCCAAACTGACCTTTAAAGTAAAGACAACTAAACATATTACCACTGTTTTAAGTGTTAATGATGTGCTTACATACACGAATGGGTGTTGCTTACATACACGAATGGGTGTTACTTACATACTCAAAAGTGAATCGGGATTTAAGGTATCAAAACCTCACTGAGTCAGTCTAAGTCAATAAAGTCTAATTCATTAGGCCTGATGTTCATCTTGCTTATTAATGGCTGATATAAATTAATGAGTAAGTAACTAAATGGAACTGCAGCAGAGCAAACACCTAATTTAGAGGCCTCTTTAAATTTTACCTTCTGTACAGGCTGTTAGTTTGCATTGGCAAGCAAACTTTTCAAGTTAAATTGGTAATCAAGGTACTATTGGCTTAAGTGGCTGTAGATTAGAGACCGCACTGACTAAGCTACATTTCTTTTTAACAGGGTATCTGAGTTAATCAGTGTAGATACACTCATTCAGTCGCTTGAACATACGAGCTCTAAATTTGTCAGGATCAATCCTTAAACAGCTTCCAATTCATTCACCAGCTTTCAGCTCCTCATGCTAAAAGAGAATTTTTCATTAACAGATTCCAGTTTTATTTATATAATGTGGATACTATTAATCACAAGAATCTATTTCCAAAATTGTTTTTCCTATTTTTTTTCACCTTCATGCGAGTTACCTTACAACTCCTTTTTGGGACTAAAAATAAAATAGTCATCATCTGTCTAAAATAATTTTGTCTTCTGTAAACCAAACATCTATTTTAGGAACTCCATCGAAACGGTCTTCAAACCACCACAAAAACGTGACTTATTTAGCTACCATTTTGACAAAACAAGACTTCACCAAATGACAAAATGCTGTCCGTTACAGCTTGGGCCTACCTTTTAAAAGTAAAAAATCTATAATGTAAGTGCACAGGCAAAAATATGATGCTTGCAATATCCATGTCTGCAAACCTTTATATCATCTAGAAGCAGAATGGATTTTTCCACTATGTAAATGCCACGTGTTTCCACAGACAGGTCTTACAGGCACAAGAAAACTGATCAAAGTTCTTTTAGTCTAAAAACTCAGTGATTTCAGTGAAGAACTGGAAATTCTGGACACTTAAAGGCAAATCCAAAGTGTTAATGCATATTTCAGAAGCCTAAATTCAATGGTCAATTTTGAAAACCTGACCTCCTTTTATCCTCATTTTCTTTCCACTCCAACTCTTCAACCAAATAATGACACAAAAGAGAGGAAATCTGCAGAGTTCTGTGATCAGCTTCTCAAAGTCTCCTCCAGGAGATACTGATCACATTTTACCAGTCTAAGCTGGACCCTAGAGATCTGAATTTGCCATATAATTGAATATATATTAAGCAGGTTGACCCCACAGATCAGATCAGCTTTAACTACAGTTTGACCTCTTCATTATCTCCAGCTTCCCATAGAACAAGCTCAGCCTTCAGTTCAGGCCATTTCCACCCCCCTCCATTGAGGACATGGGCATACAAAAACGTGTTGAAACATAGATTGATAGTAAGACACAAAAATTGAGAGCAGCACCGTTAAGGGGATACTGGAGGCAGTATAAAGGAATCTCACTAGCCTTTTGGTTCTGATTTTCACATTAAATAAGATGCTTTTTCTTCCTTTGCCCCAGGAGCCAAATTTTTGCCATGTTGGAGGGAGGGGAAAAGGCTCCCTCTTGTTCTTGGAAGATGGGCAGATTTTCTGGAAGACTCCCCCAATCTGAAGATGCAGTTTCATCAGTGAATACTTAGCTGGGGAGCAAACCAGGAGACTCTTATGAGCATACCAATGTCAAGAAAGGGCATGCTGTCCCTGCCCTAACCCTCCCTCCAGCAACCTGTTATGATGCTCTGTGGACATGATTTATTTCTTCTCACTCCCAAACTGGCAGGGAAATCAGCCAAGTTTGCAAATGCACGTCTCAAAAAAACCAGATCTACAAACCATCACACACTTTAAAACCCATCTTAAGGAGATGCTGTGTGAACTTACATTGCCTTTTTCAAATTTATTGACAGTGTTGATGCAGTTGTAGAGAATGCGTTCTCCCGTGTCTCCCTGGTCACCAATGAGGCAGACAAAGACATTGGCATCTGTGCCGCTCCCACTTACCGTCCCAGTGCAAACTGTCACCCGGTATTTTATTACTGTGGAGACATAAATTAATGAAAAATTTCATCAACACGATTAATTGCCATTTAAATTTACTACATTTTCCACAGACTTGCAATTAATTTTAAGTGTTCATACTTCCAGCTGAAGCTTCTGCTGAAGTATTGACTTTTATACTTCAATGTTATCACTAGGAAAAGAAAAAAAATAAAATAGAAAGGCCTGGAATCTTAAGAAAACCCATAAAACCTCTCCAAAGAAGCACATAGAAATGCCATCCCCTTCGGGTAAAACTTCATGAGTTGGAGTGCATAGCCTCCTGGGGGCCCCAGCCCTCCTACCTCCCTTCCTGCCTTCCCAAGAGGGTCATGGTGGTGGGGGACCATGTAACAACATGTTTGGGGAGAAACATCATTTGCATCACCCAGGGGCATGGCTGTTAGACAAAGAGAGTTAAAGAGGGCTGAGCACTCAGGGACCTGAGGAACGGACTTTTCATGTTGGCTTTATGTGGCAGGACAAGCTCAGCTGGTCCCATCTCCTTGGGACCCTCATAGTGCAGAAGGCTGGGTCACATCTTGTCTCCTTGTCACCTTTGAGGTCTTTATTTAGGATTTTGCTGGATGGATTTTGAGCTGTCACCTTCCTCCCCCTCACCCCACCCTCATTTCTGCCCTCCTGTCCCATTGTGGGGAGAATTTCCAGAATAAATTTCACAATGAAGAACCAGCCCACAGACCAACCTTCGGGACAGAGACCTTTTTCTCCAGCATTGGGATGGGACAAGAAGCAATGCTCCCACCCTCCCTCCTAAACCCGCCTGCAAGCCCAACACGTGGGTGCTGCATCTCGCCTCCACTCAGCACAACCATTCCTCACGGAAAAGTGCCTGCATTTGAACTCAAGCAGCCCTCTCCATGGTTGATTAAAAATACATTTCAAAACCAGGTTTATTTACATTTTAATAACATCTGCAATTACAATTACTCTTCCACTTCTGAGGAACTGCTCAGCTGCATGCAGATCACCGAGTTCATCAGAAATTTTAGAAACCAGGGGACTTGTGATCTACAGAGTGTGGAGCCCCATTGGGTGCTTTAGTGGAAATAAGAAAAAAATCCCGATGGGCACCTTGAGACACTCTGCTCTCCAAAATTCTCCCTCCATGTACATTTAATTCTTGTGACACAAAGTCAAGACAGAAGTGGCCACTTAAAGAAGCCAACACAAGTTCTGTGGCTTTCCCTAATTAAACCTCCAGTGCAACCATAGTTAACCCAGTAAGTATTTCAGATTGCTCACACATACTGAAGGATGCCTATGCTCTTGCACAACTGTTCTCTGCAACTTCCTATACTGTTATACATATCGCTGCATAAATGTGCATATAATTAAATAAAACTTTAAAGCCCAAAAATGATTGTTAAATTTTAGATTGCATTTCAGCTAAGCTTGCTTTACATCAACAACCCTTCAAACCTGGCATTTCTCATTTTAAGGGAGACTGGAAAAAATACAAGTTTGAAAAAAAAAATACAGCTCTGGAAACAATTGTGCTGCGGACAGATCTCTCCCATCTCCCACCACAGAGAAATCTGCTCAGAATAAGAGACTGGGATTTCTGAGGCTTCATGCAGCTAATGATGCACACAGAAAATACTGCAGAGAGAAAGTGCCAGAAAGAGAAACTAATTGAATTGCATCGGTCTGCCTGTGCATACCTTCCACAAAGAGGGTTTCTTTCTATCCAGCCCCTGCACGGAGCCCGTGGCTCTCACCTGGCATGACTTCAGTCACTAGAGATCCCTCCGCAGGGAGCTCCCGCACGATCTCATTGTCATCTTCATTTATATCTAGCCAGCGGCCACAGTTGAACGAGTATTTTTCTTTTGTCAGCGTTTTCAGCAGAGTTACCTTCATTAAAGCAAAACACTGCATGAGTTCAGAGGCTTAAAGACAAAAAAGCAACAAGCTCCTGACAGGTTTTTTGCCTGAGAAGCACGAGTAGGTAGAAGCAGAGAAATAACACGCATTAATAACAAGACCTTCTTTCAGATTCGCGCACTGCAGTGATGCACAGAGCAAAGTCTGTCATAGCCGATGGCTTTTCATTCCTCCTTTCTCCAATAGCTCCACGGTGTTGTGGAAGTTTTGATGGATACCGTGGCTCTTAGTAACTGCTCGTCATATACCACTGTATAAATCCACAGGGCAAATCTTGCACTCCTGGTCCCCACAGCTCAAAAAAAGTGCATGGCATATTTAGAAAACACCCAGAAAACAGCAACAAGAATGAGCAGAGATCTGCAGTAGCTTCCAAAGGAGCAATAAGCAAGTAAGGTAGGGCTCTGCGGATGGCTGGAGAAGTGAGTGAAGAGAGGGTATGATGAAGGTCTACAAAATCACAGGTGGTATGGAGAAAGCAGAGGGAAGTCACCTATTCACCCTACTGCTACAAGAAATACAGGGCGTCAAATGATGCTTGTAGAGCAAAGTTCAAAGCAAACAAAATGTCATGTGACGTCCTTGCCAAACGCTATTATGGTCACTAAAAGTTTTATTGTTCAAGGGGAGACTGGAACTTTTAAAGAAATAAATGCAAGAGAAACCTCCTAAATGCTTCCTGTTTTGTAGATCTGTTCAGGAACTAAGTCTCCAACAGGAAATAGTTGAAAGCTGGAAGAATATTAGTGGGAAGTATCATAAGTGCTTGTCCTTTTCTTACTGTTCTCTAATCATGCACTTACATGACACAGGAGAGAGGACGCTGGGCTAGATGTACTCCTGGCCTGACCGCTATGGCTGTTCTTGTGTTCTTGCAATAGAAAATGGAAGTCTGCCCCAACATGACGCAAGCCTGACGTGAAATGTCAGGAACAAAGCATGTTAAGGCTAAATGGAACAAAGCATTGCTAAGGCTTCATCTAAGTTCCTAGATGCTAAAATGGATGCACAAGCGATGGGATTCATGTGCCCTGAGCCTGATTGCATCTGGAAAACAGCCTGGCTGTATACAGGCAGATTGATTTCATGCGTCTTCTCCAGGCTTGCTTAGACAGTTTGGCCCAAGGTGAATCCTACACACACTGTCAGATCCCTCTTGTCCTCCCTGAACACAATTTTTGTGCAGGAAAAAAGGATACCCCAGGGAAATGTATAGCTATGGAAGGTCTAAACATTCTTGCTCATCATCTGTGAACAAATTAAAAGAGGTGATTGCAGTGGCCCAAAGTCTGACCAGCACTCTCTTTTTGATAAAGACCACAGCCAGACACCTTCTCCCACCATATGGTGAACACCACTTGATGCCCTCTCCCCACTGGAGAGGCCTTCGGCTGTGTATGCTTTCACAGCTCCCTGACAACGCAGGAGAGCAGGATCTGTCCAAGCCCATCAGAGGCACACAAGAAAAGTCTTTGAGCGGTAAATTGTGATTTATCATCACAGTTATTTATGGCTATGGAGCAAAGCGTATGTTTTGGTTAAGTGCAGAGAACATGTCCCAAGCTCTGCAAGAATATGGGTGAAGCTTAGAGATGAACTTGCTGCCTTGTAGACCCAGGCGAGGGCTGACAGCATGGTAATCATTGCTGGTGGAACAAAGGAACAAAGCAGCTGAAGATGAAGGAGATGACCCTTTATTTCCCAAACAGCTCAACGCTGCTCTCTTCTGCACAGTCTCCATGGGCTCCTCCAGTCTGCAAGTGTCCACCTCCTGCAACGCGGTGGCAGCCCTTCAGGGCAGGTTGTACTCCACTGTACAACAGGTCGCTACCACAATCAGTTTTTTGTTATGACCAGCCTAAATAGGCCATAGAAGGAGTGGGTTTGCCTCTCTGTATAGCAACTATGTCTAAGAGTAAGAAGCTTCTGAAGAGCAAGGGAAACCCCCCCTGATAGCAGTGAGGGGGGTCTGCAGTGGTCTGATGGTGGAAGGATGGGGAAACGTGCTTTTCATCATCGATCTGGGATCTTGGGAGCTGCCATTTACCATGGCTCTGAGCTGGGCTGAACTGAGAGAGACAGGAAGGAGAAGGAATTTCCTCCCAAAAAACACGCAATGAAACCTTCTCTCCCCACATACTTTTGCAAACACTACAATGTGCTCTCTTCACATCCCGCTTTCATGTAGGACTCCCATGTCCGCCACTTGGCCAGCGCTGTCTGGAGCGGGAGGCACCTCTGACCACTGCACATCACACTTCCAGCTGGGGAACGCAGTGACACACCTCTGTGACCAGTCTTGGCTTTTCAGCCTTCCCTTGCTGTCCCCTCACCTTATTCAGATGCCAGCCAGCAAAGGGATTTCTTTTCTCATGCCATATCCGAAGCTTATAAAATGTACCCAGATCAGGGAGCTCGATCTATAGAGGGGAAGAAAACCACACCGTTATCTATTTCTATAAGGCAGCAAAGCATACACACAAAGGACACCTCTCAACATCTTTTAAGAGCCAAATCAGAGAGGAGTCAAAAACTAAAATAAAAAACAATTATGTTCTTTCAAAGTAATAAACCCTACTCTGCAAGGACAGCTTGATGCTTCTCTTTTCAGCAGAAGAGAACATATAAGTTGAATCCAAACACTTTTGATCATGAGAACACCTTGAAAATGTTCCTCCCAGTAAGAACTAAGGCCAGTTGTCAAGCTTCAGCCCTTTCTCAAACAGGGTCTGCAAAGCACAGCCACGCTTCCTCCAGAAGGCATTACGGCTGCTGGTACAAAAGGGGTAGGTGTTTTGGTTACAGCCATGCATTAAAATCCTTTGTTTCTCAATATTTCTCTGACCAGTCCCCAGTTAACTTCTAAATATATTTGTTCCTAAACACAAGAAGACCCTCCCCAGCCTCCAAACCCAACGTGCTGTTTGAGCTCAGCCCCAAACATACACGGAGGCTCACATCCAAGGAGACTGGAGACCAGATCACTGATGAAAGGAAACACCGCTGCTAATTCTCCTGTAAATAGCCAATACCCATTTAGGCACCGGGGGAAAAAATAGGTAAATTATTAGCTGTATTTCCTTTAGAGAAATGGTCTAAGTGGGTGGAGCAGTCTATAATGTGAGTGGGGTAGTGCCTGAGGGGAAGACTATCTGCTTCAGGACCCACAAAGCAGATGTGGTACTTATTACCACCATGACTTGAAGTCGTCACCCCCAAGCACCCAGGAGCACCAGCCTAAGTCTTATTTGGAGAAGACGAGCCAGATCCACAGGTAGGGAGATCATTTGCAGTGCCACCAAACTGGATGACTTCACCTCCGCTTCAGAAGAATCTATTGAGGTAAAGATCTCATGCTGGTGATTTTCTGTACAGGGCTAAAGCTAATGCCCTGGAAAAGAATACCAAGACAAATTTCACAGATACGTATTTCACAGAAACACTAGGTTGGAAAGGACCTTCAAGATCATCAAGTCCAACCATTACTCCAGTGCCACCATGTCCCCTAAACCATGTCCTGAAGCGCCACATCCACATGTTTCTTGAACACTTCCAGAGATGGCGACTCCACCACCTCCCTGGGCAGCCTGTTCCAATGCCTGACCACTCTCTCAGTGAAGAAATTTTTCCTAATATCCAATCTAAACCTCCCCTGGCGCAACTTGAGGCCATAATTTACCACTAGCACAAGTTTCATACCATGAACTTGTCAGTCTGTCCAGTTTCAAAGTTGTCTGAATTGTTGTCCAGCTTCATCTCATCTGACTTCCCCTTGTCTCCATAAATCTGGAAGAAGATGGTGGCATCTGTCCCTGCATTCTTAATATCACTTGTCCAAATCCACAGAGACCAGGGGTTTTCTGCAAAGAAAAGTTCAAGACATTTTGTTTAAAAAGTAATTTTTAAAGGTGTCCTGGTAAAAAACATAATTTTCATTCTTTCCCCTGGTGGTAGAGAGGGCAGGATGGTACGAAAGAAGACCAGGATATTTTATCTTTTTCTGCACAAACATATCAGCTGCTACAAGACACACAAGAATAAGATTGTCTGGAAATATAATTCTGTGTTTCCATTTAAAATTAAAACCATAAATCACCAATTTCCAGGTGAACCATATTCTACTGTGTCATACATTACTAACAGGGTAATCCAGGGATATGCTCCATCTCTGTAGTTTCAGTATACTCTCCAACACCTAAAATTCTAGCTTCAAAGATCATTTTAAAGCCAGGGAAATACTGTCAGCTTTCTTTTTGTCAATGAGAAACGGTTTCCAGGTACTTGCATATGGTGCAATGCAGCTCCAGGTAGCTCCTAAAACTTGCTGCAGACGATCTGTGTCTGGAACAAGGAGGAGACGGACACAGCCACATATCACTTTATAGAATCTTTGGCTTCAAAGGGACCTTTCAAGGCCATCCAGTCCAACCCCCTGCAGTGAGCAGGGACATCTGCAACCAGAGCAGGGTGCTCAGAGCCCCGTCCAGCCTGACCTGGGATGTTTCCAGGGATGGGGCATCCACCACCTCTCTGGGCAACCTGGGACAAGGCTTCACCTCCCTCACTGTGAAAAATTTCTTCCTTAGATCTAGTCTGAATCTGCCCTCTTTTAGTTTAAAACCATCACCCCTTGTCCTGTCACTACAGGCCCTGCCAAAAAGTCTGTCCCCATCTTTCCTATAGGTCCCCTCTCAGCCCTGGCAGCTGCAATAAGGTCTCCCCGAAGCCTTCTCTGCTCCAGGCTGAGCTAATGAGCCTCTACCCCGAACTAATGAGCCTTCCTGAAACTAATTACCCCACTTATGCCTCTTGCAGGACCGGCACAATGCTCAGGCATCCTGGCTTGGAGCCCATTCAGGTATCTCTAGCCAGGCCGCATCATGCGGGGCAAAAATGCTCAGAGCAATCTAAAGATATTTTTCAAAAGTTTTAAACATCTTTAAATGCCTCAATCTCACCCGACTTCAGTTAGCACATGTGTTACTCCAAGTGACATGCCCAAAGGTTGCGGCAAAGCTACAAACCGAATTTCTGTCTCTTGAGTCTTCACCCAACATTTTAACTGAAAGAGCAGCCCACCTGCAGCAGCTTTACATTGGTTTTCATACCAGACGATGGTTGCGTATATAAAGGTGACATCATTTTCTCTAAAGAGCCCCTCATCTGCATTCTTTATTGATAATAACATGTTTCACTTCTGCAGGCCTTGCAGCACCTACAGGAGAGGGAACGGGTTTCTCTCCCGACTCAAGCATCAGCTGAATTATTAACAAATCCTAATGAAAGAATTGCTAAACCTTTCGGCATGCCCCAGCCCACATGAGCACGGCTTGACCTTCAGAGCTCAGAATGAATATAAAAATACGGTGACATGCATATAAATTAGATTTTTACTGACCTACTCAGCATTTAACTGTAAAAAAGAGGCGAGCAACCGCTATTAAAAAAAAATGAGGGGGGAAAGGAAACTCTCTTTTAGAAAAAGTTTTGCCCTTTGTTTAATAACATACAAGACGTTGATGGCCACTCCCTTCTGAAAAGGCCCAGCACGTTTTACCCGAGCAGAAACCGAGCCAAGGCAGGC